GGAAAAATAATTATTATAGTTAATAAACAATAATAATATACAATATCAATAAATCAGTCTTTAGTGAATATTAAATGCAATATTTATATTCACCTTATTTTGAAAAATAATATTAGATACTTGTCGTATCTCACGGGTACTATATTATAATATTATTTGATGAAAACCATAATTATTTTTATTAGATTTTGAACAAGCAATGTTTTTAGAGACGCTAATACAAAGATAAGACATATCACATGAACAATGGAAATTAATGCAATTAAGTAATTAGTAAAGAAGTCAGTAAAAAAAATAATTCAATTTAGATTTAATTTAATCGGATACAAATTAACATATAAAAAGTATAAATTATATAATTAGCTAATGAAATAAAGCATATTTTTTATGTTAAAACTTTATGTATTTTAAATGTCATACCTTACATATAATCCACAACAATTTTATATCACGATAATTTAAAAATAGCACTTTCAATTACTAAACTTCATGGAAACTGAAACACATAAAAATATTTGCTACAACTTTTATATTTTCATAAATATTGAGGTAAAATATCTTTTTAATTTGACACGAAGTTTTAACTACTTTTGAGTTATATTTTTTGCAGACACTGAAGTTTGAAACTAACTTCTACCAACCTTAAAAAATTTACTGAAACTCTCTGAAGTTGTTCAACTAAATAATAACAATTATTAAAATGTTAATTAAGTAATTATTGAAATAAAGAAAATAATCACACTAAATTTACTTATGAATTATCGATTTATATTATCTTTTGATACCGATCGATGTCGTGATAAATATTCACAGATGAAATTTCCGTCATCTAACAATATCGTCTTTAGCGTCGACAGTGAACTTGACCGCGAGACACGATTAACTGAATGTTAAGGAAGAGAAATTTCCTCTTCGTACGTACGTGGGAACAAACACACCGACGACATATCAGATAACTTTTCATGCCCCTTCTCACCTATCACCAAATAAACAATTACTTTGAATTTATTGTTTGAAGAACGACTTAATGACACAATTTCGGATGAAAGTGTAACTAGTTGTGTATGGCATCGTGCCTTAAGGCAAATTGCTCGAACTTCCCGTACCGAAATGTTCGAAGAATATTAAATGTTTTCAAATGAGAACTTTAGTCTTTAAATTAAAATCTGATTTATTTTTTAAATCATTCAAATTGGACGCTTAGTTCTTTCAAAAGCTGCCATTTTTGCACATTTAGCTCTGTATCTTAGAAATGGCTGCCTTTGCCAAAAACTTATCACCTCTTCTCCTAATCATTACAAATTGAATGTTTTTTAGATCATTCAAATCGGACACTCCGTCCTCTCAAAAACTCGATTTCTATTCTCTGCACTCTATTCATTACTCCTTAACTCCATAACAGCTGGACCTGCCTTTGCCAAAAACTAATCAGCACATCTCCCTATCAATAGGTATCGAATATTTTCTGAACCATTCCAATCCGTTGATCCGTGCGCCCGATTCATTTTTTCTGAGGTATGCCACACACATTTATTTTTTCTGAGGTATGCCAAAATGTTCAGAAACCTTCAAAACGTAAGAAAAGGGTAGAAGATACAATGATAAATAGTAAAGAAGAAAAAAAGAAAAACAATGAAGTTACGTTGAAAAATACATAGAATAGGATAAAATATGAAATAGAAAGAAGAATAAGATTGATGTAAGGAAAATAGTATGAAACTGAAGAGTGTATTGAAATTGAAATATGTTGTAGGTGGCTAAATGCTCGAGTAAGCGAGGCCAATAAAAGTAAAATAAAATAAAATATATAATATTGAAGATATTGATTATGCATACTTTATATTTATAATAGAAATAAAAGAGCTTACCTTTCAAAACTGCATTAATCTGGAATCACAAGCATTTGCATGTAGGCACTTCACTCACAATCAGATCACAAAATAAGTTTTTTTCACAAAAATATAAAGTAATGAAAAAACACTAATTTTATATTAATTACAATTAAAAAATAATTATTTACGTTTTTTATTAACTAAATGTAACTTACGTTACTTAAACCATAAATATGTTTAGTTGATATAAAGTAATTTTGATATTGAACAAAACAAATGAGAGAATAATAAAAATTATTAACTTCCCGTAGGGTAAGTTATTGTAATGGGCCGAAAATCGAAATTGAAAATTTTTACATTTCTCGACGTTTTGAAGGTTTCTGAACGTTTTGGCATACCTCAGAAAAAATGGATGTGTGTGTGTGTATGTATGTATGGATACAAATTTCCAGTCACATTTTCGAGCGCACGGATCAACCGATTTGAATGGTTCAAAAAACATTCGATTCCTATTGATAGGGATAAGACCTGATTAGTTTTTGGCAAAGGCAGGTCCAGCCGTTACGGAGATACGGAGCAAAGAGTGCAGAAAATAGAAATCGAGTTTTTGAGTGAACGCAGCATCCGATTTGAATAATCTAAAAAACATTCAATTAGTAATGATTGGGAGAAGTGATTATAGTTTTTGGCAATGGCAAGCCCAGCCATTTCAAAGATACAGAGCAAAATGTGCAAAAACTGGCAGTGTTTGAGAGAACTAAGCGTCCAATTTAAATGATTCAAAGAACTTTCAGCTTGTTTTAACAAAATAATTGATTTAAAAAAAAAAAATTATATAATTTTTTTTTAGTTTTTTTTGTATATCGAAAATAATTCAGATTTTATTTTTAATTCTGACTATAGTTCTAATATACTTCAAACAAATAATTTCAACTTTGCAATTCAGTTTATATAATTCTTATAAATATTAGACAATGTTGCAATATTAATAATAATCTATTTGAAAACATTCAGTGTTCCTCGAACATTTCGTTACGGTACGGGAAGTTCCAGAAATTTGCCTTAAGATTTATCGATTATTAACTTCCCGAAAAATTTACTTGCTTGTTTTATGTTTTCGCGACGTTTCAAGTAATTTTGAATCGCTTGAGACCAAATTTGGAAAAATATGTTTTCAAATTATCAATTGTAACTTCGCCATGATTAAAAATATATGCGCACATATACGTCTATATAATTTTTTGGTTTCATATTAAAAATTAATAGCGGATCTTAATTGTAGTTTATAGTGACATCATATCATACCTTTCTAACTAGTGCTCATTTAATAATTCGTTTTCTCAGAATTTGCTATTAGCATATGCGTATACACAAATTATATATTTGCAATATCCCATATATTAAAAAAACATTGTCATAAAAATTTTACAAATCGCGAAGTGGGCCGGAACTGAACTATAAAAAGTATTTATTCAACTGATCAGTTAATTTAGCAAAGGAAAAAAATAGAATAAGAAATAAAATTTATTTGTCAAACTTGGTGTAAGAGTAAGGTGACCATACGTCCCCGATTTTGCGCCTTGAGTCCCGGCTTTTTCTAAAAGCAATATTTGTCCCGGTTTTAGGTGTTTCGTCCCGGATTGTCCGGGATTTTTAAAAATGTTTTGATTGCCAATATATTTTTAAATATATTTCAACTAAAAAAATTGAACCAAAAAAATGTGCATATAAGTTTTTAGCTCAACAATACGCTACATTTTTAAAAAAAAATTATTACTAAAAAACGGCTCAGACGATCTTTGTCAAAAATTGTCTTTGCATTAGTTTGAAATATGCTGTAATTGGCCTCATCCTACCTATCCAACTTTTAGAACCTCGCTCTTCTTGTCTTGGGCATGTTTTTGAGCATAGTTTTTAAGAGCATTATTTTAGCAATAGTCAATTATTATCAGTAAAAAAGTGAAACAAAATTTTCTTTAATTCGCTTTATAGACTAATATTTTTGCATTTACAGTTATAAAACGTGATGTAGGCCGCGCACAATGGTACATTCATCATACTTCAGCTTTCCAATATTTGCATCGCGATGAGACATACATATACAAAATTAATAACACTCTTTGTGTTATACATTTTATGGAGAGTTATATTTCTGAAAAATTTCCAACGGTTAGAAATTTGTTCACAGAATAATATGAACCATCAAAAGATCAAGATTCGAAATTTGCGTGAATCAAAATGAATTGTGTCGAGAATGGGTCAAAACGGAATTTTTCAAATTTTATCCCTTATTTTTGGGTCAATGCACGGGAGATCAATAATCATTTTACAGGTATAGGTTCTTCAGCAAAGTATCATATTTTAATCCCTAGTATCAGAAAATTCATATACCTCTTATGTTTTATAATATAAGGTATAATAGCGATCAGTATGACTGAGAATAGCCCAACATCTATTTTTCAAAGCCCTAGGTATGAAAGATTGGCCACTCCTAAGACATTATTTTCCTATTTTGAACCAATATCTTTTCTTTCATTATTTCATAAAATTCAGTAAAAAACACATAATATAAGCATTAAATTTTCACCCTCACAAATAGTGATAGTCATTTTAGTAGACTTATTTTTCCTATTATAACATACCAATTTGTATAAATTATAATATAATTAAATCAAGTTGTTGATTAAAGTACTGAAATTGAATCAAATTTGAGAAATAATTTATTTAACTTTCAGTTTCAAATTATATCCAAGAGCCGGCTTATTATCTTCGCTGTACAGGTAAGAGTGTGTTTTGAAAAATCGTTGCTAGGGCACGATTAATGGGCGCTTTCATTCAGAAGTCAGATTAAAACGTGAAATGAATTGAAAATTACAAAAACATTTAATAAAACAGTCTTGGAATTATATCTACATACATTTTTTCATTCATTCCTTAATTTGGAACTAATTTCATCATGTTTTATATAAAAAAATCGCAATATGTAACACGATATTGAATTTATATAAAGATAAAAATGAAACGGAAAAGTTTTGAATGAAATAATAGTTAATAAATTAATTTTACATTTTATAAAATGGATTTATCAATTTCTACGTGATCTATGTAACATGTAGTGACATATAAAACTAAATTAAAAATCGGAAAAGCACGTGAGATCGAAGTGAAATGTCAGATTCTGAAGATGAATTTCACGGTCAGCAGAAAGTTTGTGTCATTGGCGATTCTAATACTGGAAAGGTGAATTAATTAAACTAGATTTAAATAGAAAAAAATCTCAACCGAAGTTACTATCGTTTGTATGCTTCAGAAATAACTTAAACAATACTCAATGATAAAAACATAATTAATAATAATATAAATGCTTAATTGAAAACTCTTTCACGCCCATTACATATTGTCCATTAGTTTCACATTAGTTAAATAAAATACATATATTGTAAAAAATTATGTTAAAAAAGTAAAGATCGCCTCAAGACTATTCTCAAAAAATTGAATAAAAAAATTAAACGAAATTAGAAAATTATTTTATATTAAAATTTAAGTTCCCGAAAATCAAGTAATAACTATTTTAAATTTACTAATTAATATAATTATTTATGAGTAAATGAGCGCCTATTCAGACAGGGATATCACTGGTGAGATAATTCTTTAACTCATACTCATAATCAATTTTATCTTTTATGGATATAATTTAAATTTAAATATCAAGCTCAAACACATCTTATTTATATAATTTCTTTATTAACTAGTGGGGTGCATGGCATCGTGCCTTAAGGAAAATTGCTGGAACTTTCCGTACCGTAATCAAAAATCTTGGTACGGAACCCAAAAAAAAAAATTATATAAAATGTGTATACATTATTATAAATCTCTATAAAATATCTGATAATTGGATGTACATATGTCCAATAAACATTTTCGACTGCCAAATGACATTTTTTTAACTTAATTTTATTGAGAGTCCATAACCGATGGACCTGCCTTCCCAGAAATTTAATCAGTTCTTCATCTTGTCAATACAAGTAAATTTTATTTGAATTATTAAAATCGGACGCTCCGTTCTTTTAAAAACTGAGTTCCCATTTTTGGCGCTTTTTGCCCCATATCTCTCGGAACGGCTAGACCTGCCTTCGCCAAAAACTAATCAGTACGCTTCCTTATCAATACAAATCGAATGTTTTTTAAATTATCCAAATCGGTTAACAAGGTTCCCGAAATCTTCGACAAAAATTTGTATCTGCACACACACACTTATATACACAAATACACATCCACATATATATCCACATTTTGAGCACAAAATGTACAAAAACCTTTTTTTTTAATTTCGATTTTTTTGCGATTACATTATCTTACCCTGCGGGAAGTTAAATATCATTAATTAATTTATTTAATTCTAGATCTAATGATTATATTTAATTTAATTACTGTTTCGAGAAATCTTCTGATAGTTAAAAATATGTACCAAATTTGTAATTTTAATAACTCAAAAACGTAAATGTGATTTGTGTAGGTATTCAAAAAATTATTCTCTATTTTTAAATGTTTCAATATTTTAGATCAAACCTACAGTAAATTATTATACTTTGTGGTTTGTTGCACGAATAAAATATTAGAATAAATGAGAATTATCTGTCCAAGTTATTTTAATATATTTTGTAACTCATCGGCAAGAATCTAATTAGATTCATATTATTTTTTTTCTAAACTAAGAAGATCTCATTGGAGTTCTTCTTAGGTTTCGCTCCCGAAGATTGCCAATTTAGCTCATAGGAATCTTTATGTATTGCTGAATAAAACAGAGTTCAAAAAAAAAAATCATTTTGTAATTTTTTTATCAGACTAGTCTAATTCGTCGGTATTGTGTCGAGAATTCCTGCTTCAATGAGCAAGTCACCCCGACGGCTGGTGTCGATTTCTATATACGCGAAGAAATCGTTCTACAATGCAAGGATCCCGTGAAAAATAAGAATAAAGAATTAAGGACATCATTGAAAATATGTGATATTGGAGGAAAATGTTCGAAGGGAACGAAGATGTTTGCTAGCTATTTGCACGGAGCCAATGTATGATATAGTTTAAATAGATAACCTAGGTTATAAGAACTAAAAGTGAAATTGGACCTTTCTGCCCCGATCTATGCTATTACCCTATGCAATTTTTATATTAAGTAATATAAAAATTGCATAGGGTAATAGGATAGATCAGGGCAGAAAGGCCCAATTTCACTTTTAGTTATTATACTGTGAAAACTAACTACAGTTAGTTACAGATATCCCGCATTACGTACTTAACACGTTCCGGGGGAAAGCTCGTTGTGCGAAAAGCGTTTTTCTATACAAATACATGAAATTAATTTTAATTCCTTCTGCAGTATGAAATGTGGTCATAGAAAATAAGATATATTTTACATATAATTAGGACATTTAAAAAAAATATTACTGATTTACAAAATAAGTTATTATCAGAGTTGTACTACTTCCTTTTGTGCCCTTTTAGCTTTTGAATTTTTAAAAAAACTGTCGATAGTTTTTTCTTTAATTCTCTTCTTTGAGACCTACCACAATCGATATGTAAGCTTATCATTGTTCATCAAGAATTCTTTTGGTCCTCTTATATCTTACAATAAGAAGCAAAAAGAACTACTATTTTGTTCTTGATTTTAAATGGATTTTACGGGATGATAAGCTTAGGACAAAAAAGTCCACTTCTTAATTTTAAATTTTTAAAGAGATTTCACTAAATGATACATTATTCAATCAATCAACTTTCTAGATTATCATTTTGGTGTATGATGTAACCAACATGAAGAGCTTTGAAAATTTGTCTAAATGGATTGAACTCGCTAAAAATCAAAATGTTGGAAAGAACATATTTTATGCAGTTTTGGGAAATAAAAGTAAGTTATAAAGCTAATGAGATTGAAATATATTATTTTGTTAATTGCTCTTTTATTTCTCTTCACTTATACAATTACATGCCATGAAGCGAAGATTTAACTTTACATGTCATGATGCGAAGATTTAACTTAAGTTTTTTTTTTCAAATAAGAAAATATTAAATATGCATAGTTTCGTGGGCAGCAGTTGGAATGAAATGCTGTATTGAAAGTGTCCGAAATATAGTACTATATTTAATATAATCAGACGTCTGATTATATTATTATTTGATTATATAAGTATACACTTATTAATCAATTATTATTTATATATTTATTATTAAAGATGATTTAGAACATCAACGAGCAGTTCGCTTGGATAAAACAGAATCGTTTTGCAAAAAACACGCTATTCAGGATTATTTGTTATCTGCCAAAAGCGGCGATGGGGTAAGACTTTATAGATAATTTATTAGCAATTAAATTCATTTCTATTTATTAATTTTTAGATAACCTCGGCTTTCCATGATGTCATAGCAGCATACCACGGATTCCAATTAATTGAAAAAAACTTGATATTAACACAGAACAAGATTGTTCAAAGTGAAAATGAAGGAACAATAATTAATGCCGCACAACAAAATGAGACGAATGATATAAATAATACAGAATATAACAAAAAGTCAAAAATTTCTTCTGTATGCTCTTTACAATAAAATATACTAACGATAGCCTCTGTTCTATTATTTCAAATCGGGAATGGTAATTTGAACACCCTCTATACGTTGGGGGGTATTCAATGCAACTTTAACATTTTTTTTATTTATTTCTAATAACAAAGGTATAATAAATTCAAAAATAATCGTTAAAATTATTTTGTCGATTTCAATAAAACCATGTATGGAGTTGTAAATTCTGGTCTTATTAAACAAACTAAAATATTGGGGACCTGCAACAAGTGGTTTTATCATAAATATTAATTGAAGATTGGATCAATAGCCCTAGATTTTAGAAAATACTCTGTGTCTATGTGTTAGGCTCAAAAATAACTTAGATGTATGGAAAATTTGTACATATTAAATAAACTGCTACTTATGAATCACTTATGAATTGTCACATATCGGAAACTTCATGCAAGTTGCCTTAGGACAAAATGCCACGTACGACTAGTTAAATTATTTTTTTTAATCAGAACTACTACGAGAAGAATTTCAGATTTACTAGTCTGTGTTTTTTTTGTGAAACTTTGCATGGTGACAGAGTTGATAGGAAACAAACCCCTTAACTGTCAATAGAACACATCCAATTTTTATATACTGCAATTAATTTTTATAATCAAACCACTTATCATCGTACGTGCGTATAGTTAGCAGCACAAGTACCTAGCAGCAAAATCATTATTAGTACTATAATATTATAAGGGTTGTGTTCCTTCTATCAATTCCGTTGTCATGCAAATTTGCATCAATATCCCAGGCGAGTAAACCTGAGGCTAATAAATAAAAATATAATAAAACAGAGTTCTGATTTAAATGAAAATTTAATTTGAACATTGGTCAAGTCTTACAAACCTTGGCACATTGATTCAATTTGTCTTCAAATTCTCTATAATTAATACAGAAGACATTTCTTCTTCAAATATAAATGGTATGCTGCTGCATTTCACATATCCACATATATGTACATAAATACTTAATTACATGAATAAAGTACCCAACACTATGCAAAAACTGCTGCAATTAGTAACAGATATAACAAATAATAATTTTTATCAAATGAAATAAATAGTTTTAATATTGGCAAGTTTACACTTTTAAATAATTCATTTGCTCATGACAAATAGGTTCTTTTTCACAAAAAAACTTGACAGTTAGCTGTCATTTCAAATCAGTTGCATCTTGCTGGGTATTTTATTTTCTATTGCACAATGGTAAAAATAGTTGCTTAAATATTACATAAATGCACATTTATATACATACACATATATACATAAAATGTCTTTCTACTTATATTTATATATTATAAAGTTATAAAATTTACATTAAAATTACGAAATATTTAAATTAGGCCCCAATATATACCCTCAAACAACAGGGTGAACAAAATATATATTGAATTTCCTTTGTAAAGAATAAATAGGTAAATCATCAATAATAAATATTCAACTAAAATATTTATACTATTGTATGTCACAGAAGTTACAGTTCTGTACTAATAGTACATATTTTAAAAGTGTAGAAATAAAATAAAATAATTAGGGCAAGCATTACATAAGATCATAAAAACTATTCCATAAATTATTTAAATAAAAGTTTTCAATGTAAGGTACATTTGATACAGAAATAGTAATTTAATTTTTTGGTAAAATGCAAATCAATTGCAAAATAAAAATACCACAAATAAGTGATGTTAAAATTTTAGATTTGTAAACTAATTGCAGCGCATCTAATAATTATTATTAAACAATTTTGTAAATTAAAATATTATATTAATATATTATTTTAATTTACAAAATTATTAATTAATTGTAATTGTAAAATATTTTTATTGGAATTTAAAGTAAACTGGCTGTAATTGATAAGAAATGAGCAAAAAATATATTTAAAACTAGATAAATTGTGATGCAAAATTGTAATATAATAACATTCAGCAAACAAATAAATGTAAATACTTATATAAAATACAAAATGTCTCATAATTATTATGAAAGTATTGTCAAATTCATAGGAAACTATTTAATACATACGTTTAAAAGATTTTTCATATATATTAAATCTTATTTAATATAGTTTAAAAAGTTATAAACAATTAAAAAAAGTGTAATATGATAAATATTATAAATAAAATTAATTATAGTTATAAATGTTCTGAATTCTCCATATTATGAATCTAATTTGGCAAATTCTTGTAAAATTTGAATAATTTTTTTATACTTTGAGGTTCCTTGAACAGTTAATTCACATTTATATGTTTAAAAATTTGAATATAAAATTTAATTGCTGACATTTATGTTACATAATAAATATACTGAAATATGGCATATTTTTTAAAATTTATCAATCAATGTAATAGTTTTAAAGAAAATATATTAAATCTGTCATGTTTTCAACAAATGTTCATGCAATCAAAATGTTATATATATTTATATGTTAAAAGTAGTTAAAATTTATGTTAAAATGTATGTTTAAATTCTTGAAAGATAACATCAAGTAAAATGGATAAAGTAATGATTTTTACAACATCTTTATTATTCCAAGCGATACCACGTAAAATTCTATGTCATCATCAGTCAGTATGAACTTTTTAGAAGAAAAATGACACAAATATTATGTGTTAGTTTTCTTATAAAAAGTTCATAACCATAGTGCACTGACGATGACGTAAAATGTTATGTGGAAACATATGGAATAATAAAGATGTTGTAAAAATCTTCAGTTTTTCCTTTTTACTTGATGTTACGCACTACAAGAATTCAATCACATACGTATATATTTGGATATATATATATATATATATATATATATATATATATACATATATATATATAGATCCAAATACACCACAAAATTAATAAAATGAAAAAATCACACGGCATATACATAAACACAGCTCCTCAATTTCTAATCTAATCTTACCATGTTTATTTCAGCTTAACATTGGGATATGTAGGAAACCGCGCCGTATGCATTACGTCGCGAACTTTGAAACTTGGAAATAGACCTAACTGTGATGTTCTAAAATTCGTCCCTTTGGAGAAACCGTCCCAATGATTGCCAGCGACACCTAAAAATTTTATTAAATATAATATACCCTACAATCTTTGCCTAAAACTAATCACACGATTCCCAAGTAATATTTTTCGAACAATTTTATGAAATATATTCAGCACTTCTGAATAAAAAATAAGTAAGCCAAATATGAACCTACCGATGATATCACCAGGTTTCAGGTGCAACTCTCCTTTGCGCACAGGTTCGTGCGGTAAAACGGCTTCACGAGTGTGTGAGCTTTGTCCTCCATAATAATAAATATCGTCCAAAGAATAAAACCTATAATTCAAAAAAAAAAAGTAGATTATAAAAAATTTCATTTGTGCTAAAACTCTTTTATGTGGTTGTCAATCGGATATCAAGAAATTTCTATTTATCATTTGTTTATATTTACCTGTCTGAAGCATCAGTATGCATAGTCTGCATTATTTCATAAGCGACCCTGCAAACTTGAGAACTGAAGGTGCATACCAAATGATCACTTCGTGCTAACAAAATAATGTCCAGAACGATGCCACGCAAAGACTCGTCACTATAGCGTGATGCTACTGATGCTGATCGAGATATAGATGGATCGCCAATAACGATGTAATCGGGATAATCTTGCCTAATTTCTTCTATAACCTGATGACAAGTATTAGTTAGAAAAAATTTACAATGTTTATTGATCTTCTTAGTTGATATTGTATATCTTAGTAAGCAATACCATAGATAGTTCATAGAGCAAAATATCTTACTGATGGTCCATGCAAGCAAATATATTTTTGGTAATCCGATAACATATTTAAATGTGCCATGTCATGTCAAAAATTGAATCAATCTTAACTAAGAAATGGGGTCTGTCTACAATTACTACGTACTATTAGTAATGCCCAAGTAAATGCTCATGTAACAAATGTTTTTAATTCAATTATAAGTCAATAAGTAAATAAATAATAATGAATATCATATTTTTAATAAAAATATATTCAAATCAATCTTTATCATACAAATTAAAATTGAAGTAAGTATATGAAGTAAACATAACCATATATTATTTAATTCACATATCTTCGGTACTCCATTTATAAGCCTCGTCTTCATCAGCTTTTTTCGCATTCATTTTTTCAAACCATTGTTTTTCATAACCATTACCCCTGTCAACACCATCCCATCTGTATCCTGGTTTAATATCAAACCTGTTTGAAGGGTATGCACCTTTATATTCTGGTCTAACCTGAATTCCTTTTTTAACATTTTTCTCCATTTGCTTTTGCTGTATATATTCCAACATAGGATCATCAGCATGCAAACGATCCCTTAAATGTTTATCTAAATCATCATCATTTGCGTATCTTGCTAAAGGTTTATTCATTTCATGTAGATCTTCCTCCATTCTAGATTTCAACTCTTCAACTTGTTTTAAACCTTTGCCCCAGCGTGAGTATTTTTCTTTATGAATCCTTTCACGTTCAAGTCTGGCTTTTTTTGTATCTTCATCTTCGGATTCTTCCTTACGTCCAGATTTCCTGGAAACTGTTTTAGCATATCGACCTGATATTTCATCATTCATATTTAGCAGCTGATCCTTCTCCTTTTTGCGAATTCTTTCTGTTTCAATGCGTAAACTTTTCGCATCTTGCAAACCAGCAATTTTACCATCTAGGGTTTTTTTCATTTTTTCTGAGGATGTTTGATCATTCTTACGTTTAGATTTTCTAGGGGGACTTTGGTCAGTATCAGAATACCTTTCTCTGGAGTTATCTCTGTCATTACAATTACTTTTTGATTTTCTTGATATCTTTTCATAGTCCCTAGATCGCCTTGGAGGGCTCTGATCGGTATCTGACGAGTTTCTTCTAGAATTAACTCTTTCATGCCTAGAACCTGTAGTATTTGAAAACTTATGGTTATAATTATTTCCTCCAAATTTAAAATCGTTAGATCTTCTTGGTGACATATTTTCAGCATAAGAACTTCTAGATTTTTCACTATATTTATTTCGGTGATTAGATTCCCTAATTTTGTACTCATTGTGCTCCAAATCCTTATCACATTTATTAGAATTATACTTACGTGGTGGGCTTAAATCATGAACAGAGTCACTCTTATTTTTATTTTTATATGAAGATTTACTCTCAGACCCTCTTGGTGGGCTCAAGTCAATTTCAGAATTTGACCTGTATTTTCGTTTTGGACTCAAGTCTAGATCAGAATAATGATTTTTTTTTCCACCCAAATTATCTTTACTTGAATTTTTTCTTTCGTTTTCTTCATTTTGTTCAAGCTTTGAGAATTCTTTTTTCTCATGTATTTTAGAAATAAACTTTTTTGACGAATTTGAAGCTTTATTATACTCTGATCTTCGTTGTGGACTTAAGTCATGATCAGATTTATTAGATTTTTTACTTGAATTACCTTTATCCTGATATTTATATTTTGATGACTCGTCTTTATCATGAGTTCTAGAATGAGACTTTCTTGTTGGGCTTAAATCATTGTCACTATTTTTTGACATCGATCTGTTAGGACTCTCTCTGTGTCTCCTTGGAGGTGTCAAATGATCTTTTGCTCTAGATTTTCTGGGAGGGCTCATATCATCAGAAAAACTATTTTTTTCTTCTTTAAATCATCTTCCAAATCCTGATTCAGACTATTATACTTATTAGAACTATTTTTGTCAGAAATTCTTCTAGATAAATTTAAATCATCATCAACTTTTATATCCGGATAGGATTTTTTTCCCCACCGATCATCACTAAGTTTACTATCAGTTACAGTTTTCCAATTTGCTGTAGTTCGCGCTAATACTTTAGACTCATCAATAAATTCAGCAACTTGAGGAGCGTCTTCATCAGCAAGTAATAAATCTAATTGTACTTCTTCGGAAAATTGGGCACCATTGGCTGGTGCAATTTCATCATCATCTACAATTTTAAGTCCTTCACCTGTTGTTTTCGAACGTTTCTTCTTTTTTTTCGGTTTCGTTCCATCACTTTTTGATAAATACTTTTTTAGATATTCTTTCTGTGATAATTTTTGTTTAGGCATATCACAACTGTCGTAAAATTAGTTATATTTTATTATTTTATTTAGTTTAATTTTTTTAAGCACGACTAATATTAGTTTACAAAAACATCGGCACAATTTTCATTGTTATTTTCCTTATTTATAATCGTAATACTTTTATCATTTTGACATTTCTTGAGAAATCCCACGCCACATGAAGTTCAGCAAAATGCCGCGCAACAAACTAGTAGCCACTAGTAACGCAGATGGCGCCATGTTTTTAATGTCGTATTAATTGAAAATATGAAAAATATCAATGTTTTCAGAATTTATAGATAATACTTAATAATATAATACTAACACTTAATAAATACTACTAATAAACAACACTTAAAACTACAAATCACTAAATCTAAAATATAATGATGATTTCTATTGATATTACTTTTAATCATGCTTACAGACAATCTCAAATATATCTATCTCAAAAGTAAATTCGATGATTATTTTTTGGATACACTGTACATTGAAACGTGAAACTTTGTTTTCACTAAAAGTATGTCAATAGTCCTATTATTACGTTATTTCACATTCGATTCAACTGATACTCATTGACATTAATACCCAAAAACATTCATTGAATTGCAATCATAGATAAACAAGTATACAAGTATGATTGCAATCATAATTATGACTTGTTATCCATCGCTGGCATAAAGTTTGAGGATAGAATTTTAAAAAGTTATATGAGACAAGTTGCAACGAATTATTAAGCAAAAACTTAACTATTATTATATCCAGATATTAATTAATTAATTTTTTAAGTTTTTGCAATAAATCTTATGATCGATTAGATTTTAGAATAATGTCATACTTAAAAATTGCTGTAATCAAGTTTATTTTTTCCTCTGGTTAATTATGAAATATCAAAAGTATCAAAAATATGTTATTTACCGTTGGATCATCAGTGGCTACATAAACCCTCCGCACAACCTTTTCCGACATTTCTCTCTGCTTGTACCAGTCTTCTACATGTGTCATATATTCTGCAACTTTATGAAGAGCAGCTTCAGTTCCCACTTTATCAGTTCTTCTCACATGAATACTACAAAATTGAATAAAACCCAAATATTAATAATAAATTTTGAAACTGTTTTTTTAATCAATACTGAAACTTACCCAACTATAGGCTTTGCATAACCCAATTTATCCATGCCATTTTTTATCATATCTTCTGTATTTTTGGTAGGCCGAAGTAAATATTTTAAAATTTGTCCTATCCACCATACAATAGGATCGCCATGCAATCTAGCCAATCTATCAGCAAGATCTTCCGGTACAGCTAATGGCAAAAATGGTGGTCTAGGAGAAATGGAATCTATGATTGGTAGTGTAATAACTTGTGTAGAAGGTTTGCCTAGAATAGATAATTTTAGTATTAATAATGTTCTTCTTGTAAATATAAAAACGGTATATATACGGTAAATATTAAAAAGGTATTTTAAAATAGATAAGTCATGAATTTAAGTTTATATTATTGACAAACAAGTACCTGGCCAGGAACCATGTGTAGTTCCCTCTGCATTTCTACATGTTTCTGATAGAGGCAAAAACACTTCTTCCCAACCTGCTTTGTGGTATCTCCAGCCTTTACTATTTAATATTAAAGTTCTTTCTGTTCCATAAGCTATTATGAAACAATATGCAACATGATGCAATTGACAGCCAAAGCCGCAACCCTAAAATTGTAGTAAAATTCATAGATTTAAATTATCTGATAATAATTAATGGACATAAATTTTCTACCACTGATAAATTTGAATAATGATTATTTACTTGAATATCAAGTATACTGATTTAGCACAATATAAATATAATAAAATCAAATACTGTACCTTATTCAAATTGCAAACTAATTTTTTAGCCGTGTTACAGTCTTTTGGGTTCTGTAGATAATGAAATCTTCTTTGTACTAAATCAGACAAATCTCTAGACTCTTGCTCTCTCCAGTTATTGAAACCATCATACTAAAAATAAGTATAATTATATATTTATAAATATATTGATTAATTTAAATGTTGCTTATAAATAATAATATGTATATAGATAATATATTGGACATCATGGCCTTATTCATAAACTTGCTCTACACCCTGAAATAACTGAATTTATTAAAGGGAAGACAATTATGTCTCACTATATAAAGCTTATCAAATGCTTTAGTTTGTCACAGCATTTTTCAAACCTCCAACGGAAACTTTTATTACTAAGTTGACATATACCTTGGCAAGTTTCTCGACATCAGATAAAAGCCACCACTTATTATTAGCTACCATAACCAGTGAATTTACAATTTGCTCTCGATTTATAGTAGAAGCTTTGTGCAGTTGTCCAAGTTCATTACTTATATAATTCCACAATTCTTTTATATTATTTTTAATCTGCAAAAATAAATTTTATTTATATTAGAATTGTGATTTTTTATTAAATCCTCTAAATTATTAAGATTTAGTCTTTTTACCTGTCTTCTAGTCATTTCATATTCAATACTTGGTTCTCCAACTTCTTGATTTTGTTTATTATTTTCAATTTTATCAGCATATTCAATTGGTAACATGCCTTCAGCAGCCGTTACTCTGTCATTTAACGCTTTTAATATTTTCTCTTTAACTTCTGGATCTGTTGGAATGTCACTATAATATAAATATTCATTATTTTATATTATCGGAGTAATGATAATGACTTGATTAATAATCTATACAAACGCCTAATAAATTAAATTGATTGTACGATTTTCACAAATTATTTTATATTTTTCAATAATTTAATATTAATTTTTGAATAATATTTGATTTAAATTATTATTGAACATCATAGAAATAAACAAATTTAGGAAGAAGGATTTTTGAAAATATATCTATATAAATTATACATCTTTATATGACTTATTATACATGCCTGAAATTAAATTCTGTAAAGAGCTTTTTCAACTCTGAGTTTTGTTTCTTAAGTAGTTCTAATTCTCTAAATGCCTGAGATAATCGCTCATTAGCTTCTTGATCTTGTGAATTATTAGAATTAAACATTGGCTTGGCTGCCATAATCATAATAATAAGCCATACTATAAATAATCCTAATAGGGCTCGACCCCACTTTGATATTCCTAGAGTACGTAAATATTTCATATTTGCAAAATACTTAAATCATTACGATCAATTATTTAATAAGTAGTCTGGATCAGTTGACGACTAATGTTATCACATTTTGCTACCGTTTAAGAAATATATTACAATAAATCATAGCTAACGTTAAGATTTTTATAGCACTTCATAAATTAAAATTAACATTTGTAGAATGTACACGTCAGTAATTATATCACAAATCAGAGTTAAAATTGTATATTAAAAAAACACGTTTAATTAATTATTATTATTTGATTGTTTGTCATTTCAGTGTAAATTATTATAATTTATGTCTTTGCACAACGCAGCTGATTTGACGTTTTTGACAATCAAAGTCAAAGAAAACACTTAAGAGAAACAGTTCACACCAATATCTTTAATCTTTGGCTCTCACTACTATAAGAAATTTAGACATATATGCTAATAGATAGCGCCACAAATAAAGAAAATACTTTTTCAGGTAAATAAGATTCAGGCGTTTTTTTTTAAGGCTGCGTTTATATACATATATATTTATTCTTTTATACGATAACAGATTCTCTAAAGCTCAATATCCCCTAATAACACCAACTTCATTGAAACAATTATTATTATATATTTTTTTATATAGAAATTTGTATAAAGATTTTAAATCTCCTTTTTTTATTTCATGTAAAATTTATATATACATATATATAATAATATATATATATATATATATATATATATTTGAGTTAAAAGTCGGCGTTTTATCAATAAAAATAGCGTGAGAGTTTTTAGAAATTTATTTAAAATCCATTCGTTTCAGCTAGCATCTTAGCCTTCATTCAGTGGCAATCAATACAATAAAAAAATAGGACTAAATAAATAATATGTAAGAAATTTCATAGAAAAACAATAATAATGACATTAATAAAGGAACACAATTTTGCATCTTATATATAACATATGAAAATATTTTTAAACATGAATAACTTAACAAGTTGTCCAAACTATTTATTTACTATTCGGAGTCTAAGATAGAAATTCTTTTGAAGCAATATAGTTTTATTGATTGCCATATGCATATAAACTTTAGGTTTTATTAAAAAATCAATGTTTTAGTAAGTCAAAAAGTAATAAATCAATTTTTGACATTTATTCTAAAATATATGTAAAAATTGCGAACATACTTAGTTTTTCATAAAAAAAGTTGTTAATTATTGCATTAAACATTTCACATATTCACTAAGACATATTTTGAAATGATGAAGTCAATTCTTTCTTTTATAAATTGGTTTATATTTACTTTCACTTTTATTTACAAATGTTTGTAGATCATGGTTATGTATTTAAAGTAAGAAAAGCTCTCTTAGCTCTTTCTCTTTGTCTTGTTTTCTTTGTTCGTATATTTTTTTCTTTAGTTGCATCTCTAAATAGAAGCACTCCCTCCGAATTTTCAATATCTCGTTGGATATATTGTAGTCCATGCAAGTTATAGCCAATAATATCCTTTCGAATAAAAATAAATAAATTAATTTATTTTTAAATAAATAATAAGAAAAAAATATTCTTATCACACTTACCCTTAGTTCATTAGTATATTTCATTAATTTTTTCTCTAACTTTCTTATCACAGGAAGCAGAGTTTGATTAGCTACTATGGGTGCATGATGAATTTTTATTAAAAATATAGAAACTTTACATAATATTTCAATATCAGCACCATTAAACATTGTAGGCAACATTTTTAATATATCCGTAACAGCAGAAAATGGAAGTATAAGTAATGTTTCAATCAGATCACTGAAAATAAAAATATTTTTATTTTTTTAATATTCATGAAATTCATTTCGTTGTTTTATATACAAAAAGAATTTGTATTTGTAAAATAATCATAGTCCTGTATGATACTACTGCATAAACTAATCAATTTAGTATAATAAAGAAGCTATATTTTTTATGCTGTTCATACCTGCTACGAATTCTTTTGATTGTATCTAGTAAAAATTCTTGAGGCGTGTTTACATTATATGCTAGCATTAACGGTGGCGGTTGAGGTATTGGCACAGACTTTCCAGTTTTCTGTTGAAGTAACTCACATTCATCTAATTCTATTTGATATGCTGCTGATACCTCTAAGCATTCTAAAATGGATTCAGCCTGGAATACAAACAAATTTAAATGTAAATGAATTTATAATCATAAATTAATCCTAACACTTATAATATATAACGTATATTAAAAATTGCTACAGCCGCTTTATAGTAATTTATGGCTCTGATAAGCTATTGATTATGAACTTATATATTCAATTTTAATCTACAAAACTAGAATATTGCGTAAAATATTTACAAATCGAGTATCACAAATATTTTATCGAAGTGTACCATTCATTTATATTCTTTTACTCACTCCTTTCTCACTTCCAACTGTTTTTCTACAAGGTAAATTTAAACCAGGCAAGCCTTGGACAGCAGTTTCCTCCCCTGTGGCTAATGATGCATCTTCTTCAGCTTGACGTTCCTCTTCCGCTGCATCTTGAAGCACCAATGTCTCATCAGTTTTGTGATATAATCTTATCACTCTATCCGATCCAGAGCTAACTAAATGCCCACCAGCTGGTGATACTGCTAGGCCATGACATTCTCCTATATGTCCTTGCTTCAGATTTTTTTTTTTTTGATAAAATAATATTATTAATATTGTATGACAGTATTAAAATAATAATGAATTTAAAAAGTAAAGATGCTAATTGTTTACACATTCTACTCTTCTTAAAAGGATTTTATATCATTTCAATTTAATATTTCTGAAATTTAATATATAATAGTATAATATAATACTTCAGAAATACTCACAGGCAATGTTGCAATCTTGTCAAATGTGTCACCATCCCAGTGTTTAATTTTTCCATCTTTTCCGCTTGTGAAAAATTGATGTGTACCATGAACGAATTGTAATCCTGTTACAGAATCATCATGTGCAAATATTGAGCGATGGCAATCACCAAAGTCTAAACCCCATACCTAGAATTGAAAATTAATAAATTTATATGATAATTTTTAATAATATCAATTTTTATTTAATTTATTTAAATTTAAGTTTACCTTAATATTTCGATCTGCTGACCCAGTAGCAATTAAAGTTGAATCAGAAGAAATATCCATACAAGCACTGGTAATTTGTGACCATATAAAGATATATAAAACTAAAAAAGTAGTAATACAAAATAAATAAAATCACATAAATGAAATATAATATTACAAAAAATATCACTAAATCCTAGCATATGTGTTTAGAAAATAATTAACATTAATAGATTAGTAATATATTATATTACATTAAATTACTGATTTGAAAACATACTTTGAAAGTGTCAAGAAAAAATATTTTAACTGTAGAATCAAGAAGTGCAACAGCTATGAATTTTCCATTTTGAGATACTCTCACACAAAGCACGCATTCTTCAAGTTTTAGGGTTCTGGTATGCAGAAGTGAAAGCACTTTAGCCTTTGCTGCTTTTTCATCCACATTTTCTGGCTGAATTAACTCAAAATTCCATAATTTCACTGTATTATCGCCACCACCAGTCACTGGACCTCTCTTTCAAAACAGTTTATAATAAAAATTTAGATATACACATTGCATTGAACAGATTATAACTAATACTAACCATATTCGGTAATAATGTAATAGACCACAATTCTTTAGAATGTGCAGGTATTTCTTCTAAAACATCCCCTGCTGCAATGTCTGCTATGAGCAATGCGCCTGATTTCAAACCAATTAATAAATGCCTGTCACCAGGTACAAAACATAAGCTCAGTACATAACCAGTCTCAATAGTCTGCAAACAGATTTGTGAAGTTCTGAAATTAGGCAATATATAAAATATTAAAATACAAATATATAAACAATTTTATCACTGAATTAAAAAAAACAATGAAAATGAAATACCTATTCCAAACTTTTACTGATTCAGCACTTCCTGAGGCTATAGCAAGATTATCAGAGCTAAAACAAACAGCTCTAACTTCGCTGTGATGACCCATTGAAGAAATTGATCGTAAAATTGATGGAACCGATTGCTTATCAACAATATTAGATCTATACATATTCACAGTGTTATTTGCTTGTATGATCGCTATTCGAAATTCACCAGCACTTCCAAGAACAATATCAACAGATTTTATTTTATAGTCAACCTTTAAAGATGATAGTTTCTTTATTTCATCTTTAAGTCCTAGTTCTACCGAATCTACTTCCTCAGCATCAATGTTTTCAATTTCCATCTCCATTTCAGGGTTCCTAAAACAATAATTTAATAGTTACATGTGTGTGTATGTGTGTTTATGTATAATATAACATTTCATATTTTTAACACAAATCTTCATACTTTGACGATTTCTTTTTTTCTCGGTTTTTCTTTCGTTTTCTCAACCTTTTCTCTGATTCTTCATCATCACAAAAGTAAAAGTTATCTAGTGTATTATCCACCCCATGGCATGCAAGTATTTTTCCAGTTTTATCTGGTACTAATGATACAACTCTCCCTTTGCTTGATCTCATAATCACTCCTAACTTAGAACATACTATTGGGCACTAAAAATATTCAGATCCATTATACAAAGTAATAAACAAATTACCTCTAGCAAAGAAAAATGGTGTCAAAATTTCACTCACAGTATTATCCTCTATTTCTGCATCTGGGTTATCTGGTTCTAAAGAAAGATGTTGTATACCATTTTCAATATTTGTGTCTTCATTCTTCTGTGATATTTTCCAAACAGTTAATTGGGAATCAATACTACCAGTTATTAAATATTTATCATCTTTCATCAAAGTCATTGCCCACACCTTATTAAATAAAAATGAGAGTAGTAGAAAATCATTTAATTAATGGTGAAACCATTTAAACAAATTATAAATAATTCATGTATATAAACAACCTCAGTTCTGTAGCCAGTCAATGTTTTAAAACATCTTTTAGTCTCCAAGTCCCACAATTTAATAAAGGTATCCTTTGAAGATGATATAAGTATATTATAGTCCCTCATAAATTTAACTTGAGTAACTATTCCTTTGTGACCAGAGAGACGACATTGTCCAGCCTCTGCCACAGTATCCCACACAATTATTTCAGTATCCTAAGCATAATTATAATTCAATAAATATTAGAGAAAAATAAAAATAGCAAGCAAAAATCC